GCTCCTCCAGGGGTTCGTCAAAGTACAGCCACTCCACTAGCTCAAGAACAGAATGGACTAGAGCTAAATGCAGCCCATCCTTCTGGACTTTCAAGGTCTTTGAATGCAAGATTGAAAACCTCTAAGGGCAGATCTATAATATGCATTGCAACTTGGTAAATAGATAGATACATATTGTATCTTTGGTTCCAAAATGGGGAGAGTCCCGTCTGTCTGCACTGCTTGGGAATGACTAAGAAAACGACGGATATAGACACATATCTGATAAATTACTTTGATAAAATATATCTTATAGATAAGATAAGATACTCCTGCCTATGGTAGACTTATATCAAAATGCACTTTCTATTTCCGTAGCATTTGACAAGAGCGAACTTCAAAGCCATTCGCTCCCTTCGCTTCTTTATGCAAAGATAATAGTTTAGCTATCTCCCCCTTTTTGCTGGTATCTGCGAGATACATAGCTGCCACGAGGGGAAAATCGCACGACTCCAGGGCTCTGCATCTGTGAGATACAGGGCCCGTGCCTGTGGCCCGCACTCTTCACATTGTTGATTAAAAATAAATTGTCAACTTTGACAATTGTGCGGCAGTTTTATTTATAAACTAAAGGAATTTTTTTTTTCTTCCTCCAGGGGGAAAGACAATTTTTGTTTACAAGATTATAGTTGTTGTTTTTTTGTTGTATTATCTGTTATTTTTAGAGTTTTTCGCCATGGCAGACAGCAGGGAGACTTGTGGCAGATTCTTGGATTGCCAACCGAAGTTTGATGCCCTCACAGATGTAGAGATTTCTGAGTCGTAAGACCCTACCTCGGAGAGAGCCTCCTCTTAATCATTCATCAATGCTCCCGTTTAAGGCTGGCCCATGATTAAGCATTTCCAAATAAAATGAAAACCGTTTACAAAAGTCACTCGGCGTAAATTTGTCACACGCTGAAAAGGAAACTGACACAGAACAAATCACGTGAAACGATGGGAACATTTCAGGTGGGCTGCGGTCCTCTCTCCTCATGACTCTCTGGTGTTAATCCACGCGATGATTTGGCGCTTTTATGGCCGGGAGTCGTAAAGTTTAACCGGCCAGCTGATGAGGCAGTGGCGATACCTCATTGGGGACAGGCGACAGACTGCAACAAAGCCATGGAAATTTAATTAAATTTTTTGGGAAATTCCTATTGAGTGGAGATCTTTTTTTTGTGGGATGATTAAGGAATGGAACATCGAGAATGGAACATTGAATGCACTTTAAGGCATAACCTCACTTTGCTTAGCTCTTAAAGCTACCAATAAAAGTATTTTTGATTCGAATTACCTTAAGAACATCTCAGTTTTATTTCCCAATCGTTTCACCGCCAATACCGCACTTTCTTTGAATTTTTTTCGAGTTTCCCTTGTCTTTATCTTATATAAAAAGCTCCCTAATCATATGCCCAACAAATCTGAATATCAAACCGATTGAAACCGCCAAAGCGTATCTTCTAGCTCCCATTCCCAGGCCACATATCGCATCCCAAAACACCGGGAAACACCGTTCCCAGAGATTCCTAAAAAAAAAACGGGGGATTTGATGTACGATATTTGTTAAGCATTTGGCGTATTAACAAGCCTCCCAAACACCTAGAAAAGATCAATAAACCCATTGGAAAGGCCAATTGAAAACTCGTCAAATTGAAATTATCGACGACAATTGCAGGTCTTTGAATGCATACATATCTATGTATGTATATGAGTATATGTATGCTTATACAATTGATGAGTCGACAGTCGACCGTTATTTGACTTTCCCAACATATAATAATCATAACTTGAATTGAAAATTACCACAACAAGACACCCAACCGATCCGATCCGATCCGAACAGAACAGAACAGAAAAGAACCCCCCCAATAAGGGCAATCAAACAAAGCAGAACCGAGCCGCACACCGCATAATAAACTAAATGGTAGACAAATATTGAAAGTCGTCAGGGAGCTGGGGAGCCCAGTCTTGGACGGACTCCAAAGGGTTCTGCTCTGTTCAGTTCTGTTCTGGTGTTTACCAAAATTGTCGCGCAAGTGCAGAGAGCGAATTGGGTCATCGCCTCTACCTGATGCATCCATCCACTCTGATCGGTCGGTGTTGTATTTCAATAACTCTTTTGGGTTGTCCCCAGTTGATGAGAAATTTAATTTGTTTAACGCTTAAGACCGAGCCCGGACCCGGACCCGGACCCGGGCCCTGTGACATGTGTGGGGGCGTTTTGTGTCATTTATGGGTGTATGGCATGACTCCCTCGACTCGATAGATAGCCAGATAGCCATCGACTTGCTTAATTGTCGTGACAAGTTGACAGTTCGCATGAAAGCCCAGCCATTGTTAGTCCCTTTCCACCCAACTGTGTATTAAGTTTCGAGCAAGAAGAACTCCCGAAAAAATCGGGCTCCATTTCGAGTGTACGTATGTATATGTGTGCTTAAACACAACTTATTTATCTCACTTGACCCAATTTCCTGGCTACAGCAGTATGTCGCATGCCTTATTAAAACCATCCGACTACCGAACGGGGCCCAGCGGTCTGGACGGGCTCTGGCTCTGGCTTTGGCTTCGACTCCGACTCTGACTGTGGCCTGCTCTCGTGGGTTCGATGATTCATTTCTGCTTGGTTACACATTCTGCCATTGACAGACGGCCCGAGGTGTTGTCGGGGCATGCCATTCCATTCCATGGGTCTCTCAGCGTATGCGTCAGACCTAAAACATTTTACATAAACAAAAAAAAAAATGCAAGCTTGAGGAGGTTGAGAAGGTTGGGAAATGCCTGAGTAAGTGAAATTACTTCGGACGGCAGAAGGTTAAACCAAAAGAAAAGACCTAGAACAAGCCTTTCAGGGAAAATGGAACTTTTACTTCGAGAGGTTCCAGAGAGCACACAGGGAATCCTCAGCCTTGATCGCCATACCCATTCCGATCGCTATATCAGTTCTCCTTTAGAAAGCTTCAAAGGATCTGTGGATACTCAGAAAAGCCTCCAGTTGCACTTTGGTTTCCATTGAGACACTCTACAATGACATGTTCCAAGAGAAACCCTGAGAAGATCGGTTGAGACTTACCACTAATAGGGACCTAGAGTGCACCTAAAACGTCAAAACATCTCAAGAAAGGCGAGCCTTAAGTGATTAGTGGGTAAATAAATCAGTTGGAAGAACATTTATCCCGAAATAAGCAAAGAAAAGCATTCAGAAGCAGTTCGAAAGTATATCTTTCAGAGTTCTATACCTCCATGCCACCAATCACACGCACAATGGCTAAGATACCCACACATTTCCAATCGTTTTATGAGCCCATACAAAAAAAGATAGAACGTTGACAAAAGGCGTAATGATTGATGCACTGCAATCGCCCCGATAATGACTTTTTAAATACGATTCCAAAGCGCTAAAAAGGGGACAATCATCAGACCAGACCGATGACAAAGAAGAGGCTCTCGCTATTGAAATGTAATTTGCATTTCATAAGCCTCCAGGGGCCAAGGATCACAGGGAAACGCCAGAAGCAAAGCAAAAAAAAAACTACAACAAAAAACAGTAGTGCTCTACGACGATGATGACATTTAAAAGGAGGCGAGGACCCCAAAGGGTTCTTAGATGGGCGACAGACAAAAACAAAAAAAAAACGATTTATGGCCTTTTGATGATGGCAAAGGAAGCAGCTAGATATCGTATGCCCTCAGATCTGGCGCTAATATTATGCAAAGTACTCGTGATCGAAAAGACGGGGCAGGATCCCGAACCGAACCGAACTGAAGCGAACTGAAGCGAAGTGATCCGAACCCCAGGGTTCCAATGGGATTTGCAATCATTGTGCGATCATTTAGAGCCTTTTCCAGCTACTTGATATTCAATGGCAATGATTAGACAAGATTTACCAACAGTTTGTCACGTTTCGTTAGGAGAAAAGATGTGAAAAGGTAAGGGGGTAATCAGTTTTCATGAGGCAGCAATTGCTCAGAGCCGTAACGGTCCATAACAGGCTTACCAAAGACAGACTTCTCACCATCATCAATAAGAATCAATCAACACAAAGACAGACCAGACTGAAAGACATAAGACATAGTAGGAAGTCCCTTCTGGTGGCTGCTTGTTTCGGTTCCAACTCATTAAGTTCTCCAAGCGAAACGTTTTGTCACCGACCGGCCCGAAACAAAGAGCCTTCTTTCTGCCTCTTTCTGCCCTCCATACAATACTCGCACATAACTGGACGTTAATTTGCTGGCCTGCAACTGGGACTAGCTCTGAGTAGCTCCTATAATCCGTCATGCCTCGCTGCCGATTTACATTAATGCGCCAATTTCTGCTGTCTGAAGTCCACCGTCTGCCTTCTGCCTTCTGCCAGTGCAAACAATGGGCCAGATACTCGTACTCGCTTGGTACCGGTAGAGCCGACTGTAATTAACATTTTTCGCATTATAATTTGCCCTTTTTTCCGCCATCCATTCGACTGACGAGACACGGTCTCGGGTCTCGGCTCCCGGCTCCGGGCTCCCGGTGACTGAGTTGGCAATTTAATGTCCGCACATTTGCAACGACGAGGTAGCGGAAAGTATCGGTGGCTGAGGTGGAGGTGGAGGTCGGTGGAGCTGGAGATTCAACCAGGCACTTAACGAAAATCATTTTACATTATTGTGCCACTCTTTGGTGACTAATAGGAAAACGAAGCTCGCTTCTGTTGATCACTTGGGAGGTTGGGGGTTGAGTCTTTCCAGGGAACTCATCAGATAGCTGGAACAAAGAGTCCGTGTCTTCTGGCCTTCTCTACACCACCACAGACTTCTGCTAGCGAGGCACATCTCTAGACTCAAAGATAAGGCCAGCATTTCGGGTGATCCAAATAAATACACAGCCAATAGGTCAATGCTATACTTAGCCTAATCAAAATGCAATTCCCTGGCCGAAGCTCAGTTTATTCTCGATCTCCCTCACGAAAACAAGTGCCATGCGAATCCTATACCTCTTATCGTTCATGGGCTGTGCATGCCTAGAGCTGTATGGCGGCTCGGCGGTCTCTGCGGGGGGAATCGGTAAGTCCAAGTCCAAGAGGGGCGATTTTCGATGATTCATATGCTTAAACCTCGATCAAATACCTCTAGGAAATCGTTACTTTCTGGAGAAGCAACGATTCCTGCTGGAGATACTCCATCATGTGCACGAGCCTCTTTTGAACGACCAGTGGCGGTCGTTGGGTGAACGCCTGGTCAGCGATAAGACCCAGTATGTGGTATGTATAGCGATCAGCAAGGTATGGCTGAAGATAATCCAAACTAGTTGGCCCTTCAATTAGGTCTACAACGACCAGATGGCTGACTTCTACGAGGCCTTTAGTCGGGGTAGACTTGTGCCCAGAGAGGTGTACTACAATGCGCTGTACCCAGAGCACTATCGGCAGTCGCTGGGTCTCTATTACTTCTTCTATCACACACGCGACTGGATCACACTATGGCAGAACATCTGCTGGGCGCGGGTCCATGTGAATCCGGGTCTCTTCGTGCAGGCTCTGACTCAGGTGCTGCTCAAGAGGGAGGACTACCAGGCCCTGGTCATGCCCAAGATCTACGAGCTGTGGCCTGAATCGTACCATCATGCGGTGACAGTGAGGAGTGCACAGAATTTCAACTTTGCCAATTGGATTCGACAGCAGAACACTTTCACGAGTCAACTGCAACAGGAGGTGCAACAGATTCTGCCCCAAGAACTGCAGCCCATCCACCTGGAGGGAAATTTGCGCAGCTCCACCAAGTGGTTCGAGGCCATGGCTGATGTCCGTATACTCCGTCTGACCGAACACCAGCGAGGGCAGAACAGTATCCAACACCTCACCGAGGACATTGGCTGGCAGTCCTACTGGTACTACATCAATATGGGCATTGCCCAGACTGAGAACGGCTCACTGGAGCTCCAGGAGTGGTGGTACAGCCAGCTGGGCCAGCTCTTGGCCCGCTACAAGCTGGAACGCTACGGCCAGCAGCTGCCGTACAAACACTTCACCCTCCTGGACGCAGCTAACATGGGTACACCGAACCTACTGACCTGGCTGAATCAACGCTTTCGGCTGGTGACCCCGACCACCACTAAAAAGGTGACGGAAGCGCTGGAAGCCCTCGAGACGAACGTCGCCGAGGCGATTTCCACCCGTAGATATATGCTAGCCAATGGATCCAGCATCGATCTGGAAGCAGGCGATAACTGGCGGATCGGCTTAAGTCAACTATTCCCCTTCGACCTGACAAAACTGCAGATGGAGTCGGCCAGCGAGCCCCAACTGCTCCTTGATCTGTGCACTACGGTGCGATCGCCCGACTTCTATTACTACGCCGAACGGGTGCTCCGCTCGTATCGATGGTACCGCCAGGCTCTGCAACACAACATCAAGGGATCGGTTAGGCCAACCGATTTGCGCATCGAAGCGATGGATATCTCTCCACTGATCACCTACGACGAGCCGGTGGATGTGGATCTCAGTAATCTGCTGCATGCCAGGCACTTTCACTTCGACGGACACTTCATGTGGCCCTTTACCCTGCAGCAAAGGCAGTATCGACTGCAGCAGGAGCCCTTTAGCTTTAGCCTTCAAATCAGCAGCAACAAGACCCAATCGATCATCATCAGATTGTTTCTCACTACCGCAGAGAATGGGGGGTCTGTCAATCGCGAGCCTTTCTATCAGTTGGATTCATTTCTGACGGTGCTCTATGAAGGTGTGAACAGAATTACCAGAGATTCTCGGGACATCAGTGGCCTGATTGGGGATCACATCTCTCTCACCGAACTCCATCAATATGTCAGGCTGGCCGAGCAGGAGGAGTTCGATTTCCCCCTGAATATATCCACACCAAACTGCGGCTTCCCCAGACGCCTGATATTGCCCCGCGGTGGTCGACGAAATCCCCTGCAGATGAGGCTCCTGGTCGTGGCCACGGTTTACGACTTCAAGGCCAGGCAGGCCAACGAACTGAACTGTGACTTCAGCAAGGGGGTGAGCCGGTGGGACGAGCTGCCCTTGGGCTATCCCTTCGAACGGTATTTGGAGGAGGAGGATGAGGCGGAACGTCTAGTGGGAGATCACACCTTCTGGCAGCCTGTGGAGATCAATCATGTGGATCGTTTTCCACGTCTTTAGAACATTCGTACTTGAGTATCTCGTTGACCTCTATAGATCAATCGTAAGTATAATTATATGGAAGATAATCAAAGATCACCAACAGTTTATTAATGCTCTTCGGGGAAATAAATATAGATTGTATGTGAATAAAGATATAAATGATTCCAAGACCATTTCTATCATCAGATATAGATATCCTCACGACTCCAGAAAAGTTAAGATAGAATGGATTACGATTTTTGGACGATAGCCCAAGTCCATATTTAGTTTTTGGTGACCCGATGACCGTCCCCACCCTCTAACCGGACCTTTTAAGATATCGTTAGGCCCAACTCCATAAATAAACCATAATTCCACTTTACCGTTCTTTGGCTCTTGTGCTCCTATCCTCTCCGCCACTCCACCTAAGACCTTTAACGGCAAGTGACGCCAAATTTGGGTAATTACATGGGCTGGGGTACACGGAGCACTCCATGGGGTCTCGAAGCCCCCGAACCAACATGTATAAAATATTAATCAAAATCACAAAAGAACAAGCTCAGACGGGGAGAAACCACATCGAGAATCAAAACAAAAATTAAAAACGAACAAGAATATGAAGAGGAAAAGGCATTAGGCTGCCAGAGAGGGGCAAGGCGAGAGAGGTAGGTGGACGGGGGGTTGGGGCACCAATGGACGACGTTGCATGGATGCAAAGCACTTTATATCAAGTCGGAGAACGGTTCCATGGTGCGATTGGTGGGGGGAAGGGGTGGAGGGCAGGGGTGGTGTGGTGTAGCGAGACAGCTAAACTTGTTATACGCAATCGAATCGAAAATATGGGCGAAATATAGCGACGTCTGAAGAGTCGGTGGAGTCGATGGAGTCGAGTCGGTGGAGTAGGAGGATAGGTGCAGTGTGAGTCGCGGCTGTAAATCTAGAACTAGTTTTGTATTTTTTATTTTTTCTCTCTCTCTCTCTCTTTTCGTTTTTTCTTCTCTCTGTGTTGTCTGTGTTTCTCTTGTACCCGATGACGCGGTATAAAAGAAAATATTGGACACCTGCACGGTTTCGTATCGCAGCAATACCCACAACAACAGCGGCAACAAATACTGGAACAACAACAACAACCACACGAGGCGTACGAGGAGGGGACAAGTGAAGCCCGAAAAAAATTAAATAAACGTACGGACAGAGGCCAGAGAGCAGAGAGCGTCGCCGCGTTGATGGCTAAGCGAGCGCAGATAACGCAGGGAAGAACGAGAAGGAGAGCAGCCCGATTCCACATCAGTCGAATAGCAGATGCCCTTCTCTGATCAGCTGACAATTAAACAAATCACAGAAATCATGGATTGTAGCCTTGCAGACGGTCACTCTTCCTTCCTTCTGCTTTCGCTGCTCTTTCGTTTGTCAGCTGTTTCCAAATGGGTGATTTAAGGAACAGCTGATTCATGATATCTATCGTAATCTGCCTGTCAGAAAATATATTTAATTTGTTATAATTTATATTAGTATGCTTCTTTCAGCGTTATATTTAATTTTATATTTTTAATAATACTGTATTTAAGAAAATTATATTAAATTATTTGAAAAATATTAAATGAAAGTAATAAATTGTGTGATTGGAAGCCAGAGGAGTCAGATGTTTTTAAAAATTATATTATATTTATTATAATATATATTATATTATTATTATACAAACATATATAATTATATTAATAATTATGTATTATAATTTTAGATGTTTAAATCAGAGATGTAAAAATGTATTTCTAATTTGTATTATTAGAATCAAAAATATTAAAATTATATTTTTATTTTTATTGAAAAATATTAAAATTAAAATACAATATAATTGTTTTTAAAATTTGTATTTATTTTAAATTTGTATTTTCAGAATTAAAAAATGTCACCATTTATTTTAACAAAAATAATTAATAAAGGTTTTTCCTGCTCCAGGATCCAGTTTACTCTTGAAAAAAGAATACCCTCTATTCGACTTTTGTGATCCTATTTCTGATCTCTGGTATACGTTACGCAATCACGTCTTTTCGATAATATTTACTCTTTTTTTCAGACAGCCAAAAATTCCCGCGAACACATTTTCGTTTATTGCCCGACAAACCGCATATTAAATTTATGATCTTCATCAACGAAACAAAGGGTATAGCCGAGAAGACAGGGCAACCGTAACGCTCCTTAGATTTTCCTTAGCCTCTCTCTCCTTCCCCTTTCCCCTTCCCCTTCCCCCACTCGTACTCCTACTACTACTCCCACTCCCAGCACATCTATTTATCTCACTTCTCGTCTGGTTGCTTAGGTAGCTGCAAAATTTTGCCTGTCCCGAAACCCAAAAACAAAAACAACACAAGGAAAAGGAAAAGGAAAAAAAAACGAGAAAACCGAATAATAAAAAGGGGCAGCCGAGCGTAGAGCGATAGAAAAGGGAAGGACGAAAACTAATGGCCAGGCTTTTATTTCCAAGAAATTTAAAACTTTACGAAGGAAAGAGGGATCCGAAACAGGGAAAAAGAATGGACAAAAATGGCGTTAGAGCACTCGAGAACACATGGCAGAGAGTCGAGTCTGGGTTGCTGTCGCTGTCGCTGCCGCTGCTGGAGGATCTGCCGTTTGGGGCAGACGCAGACGCAGGTAGATGGCCGTTGAAACAGATTCGAGGTTTCGCGGACATCGAAGCCCTAGAAATGGTTTCCTATACATTCTTATTTTTGATAATAATTTACGAGGCGGAATAAAGAACTTTGCCCAAGTCAAATGGCTTCTGATGAACGACTTTTGGCCAACTGCCGAGGAGTCCATAAAAATCTCCACTGACAAAAGATGTGTTGTGTACGTACGCCTTTTAAGGTGATTCCAGTTGAAATGCATTTTGTCAGCTTATCCTCAGTTTTGGTCAGACTGTAAAAAAAAAAACAACACTCCTTCCACTCTGAGGGACTGTAACTGTACAGCCCGAAGGGGAACGGAACTGCGGCGCAACGAGAGCTGACAACTGTCCGCACCCAGAACACACACACGCCTGTCCGCCTGTTCGGCTGTCCGCTTGTCCGTCCGCTGATAGCTTTTTGAACTTTCCGCCGGCTCAGGCTCTCCTCTCAGTCCGTCTCGGCCGCTCAGGCTCTCCTCTCCGTCCGTCTCTGCCGCTCAGGCTCTCCTCTCAGTCCGTCTCGGCCGCTCAGGCCCTCCTCTCCGTCCGTCTCTGCCGCTCAGGCCCTCCTCTCCGTCCGTCTCTGCCGCACTTTTACACAGCTCTCAGTCTTTTCGAGTCTCGCATAATTAATAAATTGCATTGTGTGCAAAAGATTAAGATCTTTGGCGATTTCCATGGATGCGGGCAACTTATGATTAATATTACAGTTGTCCGATGTGTATGTCCGATGTTGTTGAGGGGCCCTTGATTCGCTTTTTTTGTACAAAAAAAAATATTAATATGCATGCACGATTCTTAGCTGTTCTAAAAGTCCCATACGTACAGCTTATTTCGTACACAGTACACAGCTTAAATGATACAGGGCCCCTTTCTTTTAAAAGCGCTATAACTTCTAAAATATCAAACATATCACTGAAAATCAAGTTTATACTGATGGACAAATATTGAAACCCAACTTTAGATATTTTTTAACATTTTTGAGCCCTTCGGCTTTTCTTCTACAAATGCTCGTACACACAGCTTACCTCGTGCAGTTTCAAAAGCTCACCATTCAATAATATTATGCACATTTAGATGTAATTCTATCTGAAAATAAAAGAAATTAATATTAATAATAACACAATATCAATAATTAATAATAACATATCGTTATAATAATATTAATAATTCAGCCTGAAGCCCTGACTAATCTGACTATAACCATTAAATTAAATTATAAACCATTTTTGTACAATTTTGTAAATAATTAATTAGTAAATGAAATAAAACAAGCTTATATCATGCAGTACCTGTTTGGTTTTCTTATTCTTAGGGATTTAAATAAGTTGTATAATTTAAATTTTTATATATATATTTTTTTTATTAAATTTTTTTTTTTTTTTTTAATTGTGTGTTTAAGAAGCATTTGTAGACTCTTTTGCTTTGTTTATGGGATTTGCAATATAGTTTCCAAAAGGTTGTGCCTCCCAAGAGAGAGAGATTTTCCCTTGAGGTGATATTCCCTTTGCCAAAGATTTCGCAGTAAGAGGGCACTGTTAATTCCTTTCATCGTCCACACTCAAGTTCGGGTCTTTGCCATTTCTGCATAATTAATAAATTTTTGCAGAGCGATAAAAGCTGCCCATCTGCTTTGGGCCTTATATTTGTTCCTTAACGCATTACTGACAGACACGCCAGACATAAATCGACAGACAGCAACAGCAACAGCAGAATGCAAATGCAGCTCCAAGGGAGGGGGAGAAGGGATGGGAAGGCTTCACTGTAGCGAGCGCTAAAGATCTTGAGAGGCGATAACATATGGCTGCTTAAGCAAATCATTCGCGCAGTCCGAGTGGGCGGCATGGATTTGCTGCTACTTTTTGCTGCCGATGAGAGAGCATCCACTGTTGATGGGGATTAATGAGTGCGGATGATGGAGAGAAGAGTACATGTACTGCGAAAGAAGGATGTGGTTGCCCCTTGCCAAAGAACCTTAGGGTAGATTTTATGACAGTGCAGAAACCACCCACAGGCCAAACCACCTACCCCAACAAGGCCATTGAGATGCCATTCATTGACCCACTTTCACTGTCTCCGGGACAGAGCGGGAGAATGTGATTGGAAATGGGAATGGGAACCTACTTTCGATGACACACAGAGGAGAATTATTGAACAAAAGTGGACAGAGGACAGAGGACAGACAGCCCTTGCGACATGCACGATAAACCCAGAGAGGCGTCGCGGGTCGCGCACCGCGCATCGCTCATCCGCGACTGGGTGAAAACAAAAGACCTGCAAAACATGCGGGAATACTTCCGCTACAGGAGATCGCGATCACCCACACAAGGCCTGAAACAAAAGGCGGCCGAGCTGCTCTCTCGTTGCCAAGCGATTCGTTTCGGGTTGATTTACGAGACAAGGTCGAGACATCGCGCTGCATTTGAAGAACATTTCAGACATT